GATACAATCAAATTATTATTTCATTTTCCTCTGTTTGTTGATACTTGCTTTGTGTCTGGTGTAAGAACTACGTTAGTAGTTTGGATTGGCGGCCATCGTCTTTCAGAACCTGAAATAGGCCATTCCAAGCCCTTCTGGCTTTTAGCTTCAGTGGAATGATCAGCAGTTATTCTGATGGGCCTGCCTTTGTAGGTGACTTGTTGTTTCTCTCTTGCTGCTTTTAATAGACTTTTCTTGTTCCATATGATAAAGGGAGTTTGTTTTTTCTGGTCTTGTCTGTTTGGTGTTCTAAATATCTCTTGTGTTATGTTTGGCATTTATCTTCCTGCCTCTGGGTAAGTTAGGATCCAATTGGAAATGTTTTCTATGTTTTTAGAATGGAATTCTTCTTGTTCTATGTCTATAGCCTGTAGATATAATTTTTTCAGACATGTATTTCTTGGAATCCTTACTGGTACTTTCTTATAAATTTATCTTTGTCCTTGTTTGGCCATTCCAGTTCCTCCATCTTGTCTTCAAGCTCTGATGTATTTTGTCTTGTTCTTGATCTGTTTGACCAGTGAGACTTTCCATAGAGATTTTTATTTGTCTATATTTTTATTTGCAGCATTTCAGATTTTTTTTTTTTTTTTTTAGTATTTCTATGTTTTTGTGGAATTCCTCTTTCTTGCCTTCTTTCAGGTAGCTGTTTCTGCTTTCAGGAACTTATTTTCTTCATTTCTTCTGGCATCTTTATAATTATTCTTTTGAGTTCTCTGCCTTGGATTTCATCTAACATACTCTCACTAAATGCCATTAGTTTGGGCTGGTAATTTCTACAGGAATTACTGTTTCCGTGCTTCTTATGGCCCTGGGTTGGGATTTCATTGCTTGTTTTTTTTTTTTTTTTGGGGGGGGGGTTGTTTGTTTGTTTAAATTAGCTATACTATTTCATTTGAAGAATTTGCGCTACTCAAGTGGGACTTGACGGTGGTAGAGCTGAGATGGGTAGCTTAGAAAACAACTTCTCAGTCCAGCACGTAGGGTGGCTGATGAGGACTCTCTATTAGTCTCTCAGTAGATAGTAAGTGTGGGAACAAGCTCAGCTGCTGGATATCATAGCCTGTTAACCACAGCGGCTCCTTTGACTTCAATAACTCTTGGAAGAGAATCACATACTCACCGATAGTGTAGAGCACACTCAGATTTTAGCCAGTAAGATCAGGGGTAGGAGGAAGCAGGCGGGTGGGGGTAAGGATAAAGATTAGAACAACTTTCAAAAGGAAGAAAAGTTGCAGTGGGTAAAGCAGCTGGGAGGGCAAAGGTGGGCTGTGTTATAGTCTATGGAGCTGAGAAATTGTTAAAGCTACAGAGCTGGTATAATGTTCTTTTGGAATGTATACACCTTACCCTTGTTCATTCAGAGGCTGATTTCTCTCCCCCACTCTCTGGTTTCAATCCGGACATTGCATTATGATTCTTATTCTAAGCATCACCTGTCTCAAGTTTGTGTAAACAGGCCACCATTTGTTCTCTAAAATGTTAATCAAAACAACCAGCCACAATGTTGAGCAATGGAGAGGATAGGGTGGGGCATCCTGGTTCAGAGTGGGAGGAGAGGAAGGAAGAGGAGGGCACGAAGGAGTGGGAGGCAGAGGAGGAGAAGGAGCAGCAGGAGAGAAGCTGGGAGAGAGAAGCTGGAGGAGAGGTCTTGGAACGACTTGGAGAAATGAACCGGACCTAAGATATCACTAAAAGCAAGTATAATGGGTGAATCTGAATGGTAAGAACTATGCAGCTTGGAGGTTTAGGATGGAGTAACTATTGCCCAGAATTGTGTTCTAGGTTAACTAAATGAATCCTAGTGTCTGTGTGGTGATTTGGGTATACAGCTGTTTAGGATTAACCGCAGTATTACTAAAAGATATACCAATAGTAAATATTAATTGCCCAATACAACACTACAGATATTGTTATAATCAAGAGGTCAGAAGAGGAGGGTAAGGATGAAAGAGGTATAGCATGAGAGAGGGAGTATATGAAAAATGGACAAAAGGTATACCGTGTTTTAGACTGGGAAAAGAAACATACATAGCAACCTTAAACCCTAACTGAGTAACTTACTGACAACCAAAACCATCGTAAGACATATATGCAAGCGTGCAGATTAAAGAACAGAAAATTAAAAAAAAAATCAAAGGAGTATTTATGGAATGGATTGCTGGCACAGCTGCATCGAGTTAGGTGATGTCCTCAGATGCCTCTGGCACCACAGGTTCTCATGGTTCTGTGGTAGGAGGGATCAGTGGGAATCCCCGGTCTCTGCGATTTTGTGTCAGACTGCATGATTTCTTTCCTGAGAATCCCTAGACCCCTGACCTCCACTGTGGCCTCTTCTGGTCCTGCTTGTCAAGTCTATGCTATGCGAGGAGCAGCTTCCCTTGAGGTTTCTACTCCTGTCCCTTGGATAGCTTAATGTGGCTGAATGGAGCCAATTCAAGAAGGTTTGTAGCTGATCTGTCTGAGCAGTTTTGAGTTTATACAGTGCTGAGCTTTTAATGGAACTGACCTCATTTAAATGTTTGGGTCGAGGACGGGAAAAAGGTGATGACTTGATGTTTAGGACACTAGCTGCTCTTGCAGACCCAGGTTGGGTTCCTCGAACTCACATGGTGGCTCAAAACTGTCCATTACTCTGGCGCTCTCTTCCAATCTCTGCAGGCACTAGACACGCTTAGCACGTATATGTACATGCAGACAAAACATTCATCCACAGTAAATAAATATGTAAGCATCTGAGACAGCTGTGCAGGGGCGTATGTTGCTAGGACAGGAGACTGTGAAGTCTATGAGTTGCCTTTGGTCACTCAGCTGGTCAAAGGCCGAACAGTAATATTTCAGTGTAGGGGCTGGAGAGATGGTTCAGGGACAAATAGCACTGGCTGTTCTTCTAAAGGACCTGGGTTTCATTCCCACATCCATAGAGTGGCTAACAACAGTCTGTAACTCCAGTTTCAGGGGACCCAATGCCCTCTTCTGGCCTCTGTGGGCACAGGCAAATTGTTGGTAGTGCACAAATATACATGCAAGCAAAACACCCAAGCACATAAGATAAGATAAGATAAGATAAGATAAGATAAGATAAGATAAGATAAGATAAGACATTTCAGTGTAAATTTTTTGTTTTTTCCTACCCAAGGAGGCTGACTTCTAAGAATTACATGAGGGGCTGGAGAGATGGCTCAGAGTGTAAAAACACTTATTGTTCTTTCAAAGGTCCTGAGTTCGATTCCCAGCAACCACTTGGTGGCTTATAACCATCTATAGTGAGATCTGGTGTGCAGGCAGAATGCTATATAAATAATAAATAAATCTTTAAAAAAAAAAGTATTACATGATTAGCAGGGCGATGAGGGCACACACCGTTAATCCCAGCACTTAGGAAGCAGAGGCAGGTGGATCACAGTGAGTCTGAGGCCAGCCTGGTCTACAGAGTGAGCTCTAGGACAGCCATGGCTACACAGAGAAATCCTGTCTCAAAAAAAAAAAAAACCAAAATAAAAAAGACAAAAGTACATGATTCTAAAGTATTGTCCTCACAGTGTGCACACGCGGGCGGGCAGTGGCACATGGCACAAGGATTGCCTAACCCTTGCATCTTGAAGATCTTCCCAGATTTAAATCTGCTACTTAATTTCAAAGCTTTCTCAAAAAAAAAAAAATAATAATAATTTTTTTTTCCCCAGAGAACAAAAGTAACAGAAAACAAAATGAAAATGTCCATTAGGCAAAGGGCGGGGCACACTAACACTGAACAGAAGAGGTGCAAGAAAGTCAACAATCTCAGTGCCAGGGCTCACGTACCTACTATGTGCTAGGTTTCATGGTTGTCAGGAGGCAGTTTTCCAAAATGCCTTGGGTTCCCTTTAAGTCTGGCATGATGAAAGAGAGGTGGAGGAGGGTAGAGTGAGAGAGCAGGGTAGGAGAGAGGAGGGGGAAGAGAAAAAGAGAGAACAGGGTGGGAGAGATGAGGGGAGAGAGAGAGCAGGGCCGAGGAGAGAGGAGAGAGAGAGAGAGAGCGCAGGGTGGGGGAGAGGAGAGAGGACAACACATTGCTAGCTAGCTGCTTGTAAACATTGCCTTGCCACACTGCAGAGCTTTAGGTTGAAGAGTATAATCCAAACTTTGGCTTATATGAAAGCTCTCTGAGGTTTTTGTGGTCAACCTAGACTCTCGATATTTTCAAAATAACGTCTTCATTTACTTGATGGATGGATGGACTGATTGCAGTGCTTAACTCAAGCTAGATAAACGCTACTACCCAGCCACGCCTGCAGCCTTTCTTTTCCTTATTTTTAAAAAAATTTTTTAAAGGAAATTGGAGGTTTGACGTTTCATGAGATTATTTGTAAACTACATTAAAAACGAGTAAAAAGTATATTTAAGAGGATGGGACTCTAGATAGGTTCATTTGCAAGTGTTTCGCTTCCTTAAGCCGTTTGTACACGTGTGTGCGTGTGTGTGTGTGTGTGTGTGTGTGTGTGTGTGTGTGTGTGTGTGAAGGTCAGAGGACAGCTTTATGGAATAGCTTCTCTTCTTCCACTGTGTAGGTCCTTGTGGTATCCAACTCAGGCTTGGTGGCAAGTGACAATCTAATGAGCCATCTTGCCAGCCCTCAGTAGCTCGCTTCTCAACAGAAGTGTTTTTCTTGTTGTGTTAAAATCTGTTTTTTCTCCCGCCCCAAAGTCTGATATTTTTTTGTATAAAAACAAAGAAGCCCAAACAAAAAAACACAATATGCGGTTGTATCCAAACTTAATTTGTTTAACTTTCATTAATTAAATTTTGTCGATTTGCTTTGCATAATGAATTCAGCTACATTACTAATGAGGACGGCTCTGGCAAAGCAAAAAAAGAAGCACACACGTGGGAATGGTGTGTGTGTGTGTGCTGTCTCTGGGTGTGGGAGAGAGAGAGACTGTGGTGTTTAATTAAGGAGTGGAGGTGGGGCCTGGCAGGGAACCCTATTGGTAAACACTGCATGTCCGCAGCCCGCTCAGGGGTTACCTGGGAAGAGGAAGCACCGGAAATGGCTGTCCAAGAAGCGCCCGTCCGGCTGTCCGGTGAACTGTCTGTTATCAGAGAGAAATGCGTACTTTTTGAGGTGAGGTCGGTTGTGTGCCCTGAACCGAGAGATTTTTCGTTTTTTGTTCTGATAACAAGCTGGCGCTAGGCTTCACTGAACTGAGAAATTGTAAATTCTTAGAAAAGGCTGTCTAAAGATAACAATTCAATGTTTCTTGGTAATGTACTCTGGGTGAATCTGATAATTTAAAGCCCACTCCAGCGAAGTGGGAGTTCTGCTTGCACCCTCTCTTTATCTTCAATTATGTCTAATCTGTTTCTAATTCAAACACGGCGCTGCTGTTGTCAGTTCAAATATAGATTTTAAATGTTTTATGCTTCTCCGCTGGGAAGGTTGAAAATGTACTGCGGGCTGTCTGTCAGGACTGTGCTGGAGGGATCCAATAAAGTTTTAGATAAATTTAAAGGAAATAAAAGAGTACTTAAAACCGAAATGATTCACGGTTCATGAGACGGAACCTGCTTAATGAACAGCAGTTTGGGAGAAGTGATGGTGGAAGGCCGGGTCACCTGCTTCCCCTCCACGGCGCTCTCCTTGAATAAATACATCGTGCCTTTCAGCCTTACAGGCAGGAGTTCAAAAACCAATTTAGAAATCGGGGCCGAGTCGGGCTGGCTGCAAACAGGGCCTCATGAGCATACAGGACTGTAATCCACGCCGTTTCATTCCACACGATGACACTTCCATCTCGGGGCGCAGATTGGAAAACACAGTTTCCAGTCCCTGGATGGGGCGAGCTCCTGGCTGGTAATGGAATCCTTTCTCCGCCGATTATGCAGATGCGCTGCAGGCCACGGACAGTCACAGCAGGAACATGTTCTGAGACAAGATCAGGCAGGCATCCTTAAGCCTGGGGGCCAGCGTCGAGGTTCCGGCTGCCCGAGTGGTACCCTGAGAAAGTCAGGGAGAAGACGTGTTTCATTGACACTCAGAAGGTGCCTGTGTCCTACCGCACCGCCGTTTGTAGCCACCGGGGCTTAAAGGTGAAGGCGCTGGTGCAGTTTGTCACCACAGAGATTTTTCTCGGGCTTGCTGCTAATCCCTTTCGTACTGCCTAGGGGTGTATCTCTTGTAGCACTGGGGCTGTCTCTCCGAGTTTGGTTTTAGGAAGGATTGGAACTGGAGTGTTCTTTAAATGTTAATTGGAATTTGTGCTTAAGAGGAAAAGGCTTTGGAGTTTTAAAGCCATAATCCTTCTAGGTCCCCAACCTCTCTTGCCCCCAAGTTTTATTTTCAGAGGCACAATATTTTTTATCTGAGGTAAGACCTTAGTATGATGGAGAACGGCGCAACTGAGCTGATTCTCAGGAGAAAAATACATTCAAATTACGGCTCCCTTCGCTGGCTGGCTTCGGCTTAGCCCTTTGCAGGACAGATAGTAAAAATTCTAAAAGGGCACTTTCTTCCTGGTGACCCCCTTGCATCTTCTTTTTCTGTGAAGTCTTAAGGTCAAATCTCGCTAAACAAGCAATAGTTCCTCCTTACCCAGACTCAGCAGGGAGGCGAGAGAATTCTCTCCTGCAGGCTTGGCCAGGTCAGACAGTCTGAGACTGGCCTCTTTGCCAGCCATCTCAAGGGGTGTCGGCCCTGCAGTAGGGAAACCCGACCCTGCTCTGCAGAAAGTCTGGATGTGTTTTCCCACTGGGCAGCGCTGGAGCGTTTGAACTGGGGCCTAAGAAGACCTTTCACAGAGAAAGAGAAGGTGAGGGCTGGACATCGCCTCACATGCACTTCCTCTGGATCAGTGATGCTTCCTGTCCCCATGAGCAGAGGTGACACTGTCTACAGTTCCTCTCTGAGCTGTTTTATCAGTTTGTTGCTTTACTGTCTTGCAAATCTTAGTAGGTTTTTCAGAGGAAGGGAGGGATAGAGAAGAAAAAGAGAGAGAGAGACTTTAGTGGATGCCTGCTGAGGTCTCAGTCCCCAGTAAGGCGGGGAAGTGGGAAGGAAATGTCATCCAAATCAAGGGCAAGACGGTAGGTCACAAGTGGCAAACACTGCCCACGAGTCAGGCAATGCCACGCCAGCAGCCATAATCAAGGGGCTGTCAGACTTCCGACATTGATTCCCCCAAGCACAACAAGGAGGAAATACACATCGCATGGAGGGATTTTTTTTTTTTTTTCTGACAAAGTACATTATGCATTGATGAGCCACTTCTAGTCCCCCAGACAGGAGTCAATTTGGGGATGTAGGCTCGATGCTTTAGAAACTTAATGAAATGACACTCAAAGTGGAGGCCCTTCCTACAGTGAAGGCGAAGTGGGCGGCAAAGGCTAAACTTGGTGTGACGGTCGTGAGTGGGAGAGAGAGTTAGAGGGCTTGGTAAAGAGCTTAACTGTTGCCCTTCACTTGGAGGCTCCGTGGACGAGATCTGTGCACACGTTGGAACGGGTGGTGCATGAATGGCATCTGCACAAGGACAAAGAACAACTTTTCGATTCTAAAGATACTCTAGCTGTCTCTGTCTGCCTTGTGCTTTATAGCAGATTGCAGGGGGTTAGACAGCTTATAAAGAAAAGACGTTTATTTCCTGCAGCTGGGAACCCGGGAGGTCCAAGGTTGAGATGCTGGCATCGGTAATGACCTAGTATGGCCGTGGCAGGCAAGGTGGTAAGAGAAACAGGAAAAGGAAGGAGCCTGAACTTGTAGTTAGGACAAACCCGATAATGAAACTAGTCTCATTAATACATTCACCAGGGCCGTGACCTCACCATGTGTCCAGAGTCCTAGCTCTGGGTGCTGCTGATCCACTAACTTTCCAGCTTTGGTGTTCCGTTTAAATCTTTAGAAAGCACATGTATTTTTAAATTTTATGTGTCTGAGTGTTTTTGTCTGTATGCCTGTATGTTTGCTACATGTGTGCCTGGTGCCTGTGGAGTCCAGAAGAGGGTGTTGGATCCCCTGGAACTGGAGTTACAGAAGGCTTTGAGTTGCCATGGGGGTGCTGGGAACCGAACCCAGGTCATTTGCAAGAGCAGCAAGTGTTCTTAACCATGGAGTCACCTCTCCACCCCACCCCCATATTTAACTCTTAACAGTAGGTATAAGATAATATTCATCATCATTATATAAATTATTTGTATAATTTAGCATATGGTGCTAAGGGTTTTAAGTTGTCATATTGAATACTTCTGCAGCTTGCTTTTTAAAAAAAACTCAAAATCTCAAACTGTGTTTGAGATTCACTATGTTGAAACATGTAGAGGTAAGTTTGCTTGCTTGTTTGCTTATGAGTGTTCGTTTGTGTGTATGTATCGTATGTATCTGCGTGGCTGTTCGTGCAGGTCGACCTCTGAGGGATCAGTTCTCTCCTTCCACCGTGGGTGAGTGAACTCAGGTTGACAGGCTTGGCTGACAGCACCTTTGTCTGTGGAGACAAGTTGCTGGCCTTCCCTATTTATTTTTGAGGCAGAGTCTTACCGTGTAGCCCTGGCTGGCCCGAAATTGCTATGTAAATTAGGTCGCCCATGAATTCACGGTTCGCCTCCTGCTCTAGCCTCCTGAATGCCGGGATTCCGGTGTGAGCCACCATGGCAAATAGTTGATATTAATGTCTTGCTTACAGTCAAGTGCTTGAATACACCACTTTATTTGTTCTTGTCCCCAGAAGAAAAAAGAAAAAGAAAAAAAGACAAACATGAGAGAAAAGGGGTCCTGGCTGAGACTGCTGGCGCAGAGGGTAGACGAGCAAGAGAAAAGTATAACACGTTTATTTAAGCTTCACACAAGGCAGTCGCTTTCAGATATGAAGTCCCAAACAGACCAGGAAGAGCTATTTTTACGTGCAGTTGTGTAGAAGTGTGACTGTGGGAAGGAGGGGGTGGTTTGGGGGTGATGAACTGGGGACCTGGCAGACTTTGCTCAGGTTCTTCTTGGCAGCCAGGAAGAGGACACTGATGAGAGCTCTCTGATGAGAGTTCAGGGGTGGTAGGTCACATAGTTCCAGTGAGAAAAGAGAGAGGACAGAAAGCTTGGTTTCTCCCTCTCTCCCTCTGTCTGTGTCTCTGTGTGTGTGTTTGTGTGTTTTCCCTCAACTTCCTTCAGCTGAAAAGACAGTATGCTAAGGTGCCATATTTTGGGGTATTTATACTCCCCAGAGATGCAGAATTTTCTTGTTGTTTATTACGATTATTATTATTATTATTATTATTATTATTATTATTATTATTATTATATATGTGTTTTTGAAGCAAGGTCTCTCTAGCTAGCTCAGTTGGCCTTGAACTCCCAGCTTGCCCCAGCTTCCTAAATGCTAGATTGCAGGCACATGCTGCCATACCTGGCTTTATTTTTATTTTGGATTGCTTATACTTTCATTAGTAAGTTGCAAAGCTTCTGTATATGTTTTGGAAACTAATGTATATATAATATATAATATATAATGTCCATTATATATGAGGAGCAAACATGTTTTCAATTCTCTGCGATGGGGACTGAACCTAGGGTCTTGTTCATGCTAAGCATGGGTTCAGCTACTGAACACTCCCGAACCTTTCCAAATGGCTGGGAGACGCTCTATCGCTGAGCTACACCCACAGCACAGCGTCTATTTTAATACAGTCAATTCCAGCATCTTTATGCTGGACTGTGTTTCGGTTTTACATTTGACAGTCTTTCTCTGTCTTGATTATAAAATAGGCTATGGTTTTTGCCACAGAGCCTCATTTGTGCCTCTAACCTCTAGGGAAAGAGGTTTAATCTGAGAGTGTGGCCTGTGGCCCCTGAATTATTTCCCACTGACTATGGTGTTATTTTGGACACATGCCAACGTTCTCCCCTTGTTGGGCTGTTTCTAGCATGGTTTCTTTGTCCTTATCTGCACCATTTATGTATAGTTCATAGCCATCTTTCTTAAAGGATGGCTCTACCCTAAATACTTAAAACTCTCAACCCAAATGTGGTAGCTCACAGGTGTAATCAGAGTACTTGGGAGGCAGAGGCAGGAGGATTCCTGTGAGCTTGAGGTCAGCCTGGGTTATAGTGAGATTTTCACTCAGAATCAAAACAAAAACAAAACATCACCACATAATGATAATAATGGTATTAAATTTAAGACTCTGGTCACTTTTTGCTCTTTACTCTCTTATTCACACTTGAAGATCACCTTGTCAAGTTATGTGAAACGTTCTTTGAGGATTTAGATTAGAAGCACATTGAATTTATAGAATGATTTGGGGAGAATTATCATTTTTATGCACCAAGTCTTTTTTCCTAAGCAGGGAGTATATTACATAGCTCTTCTTTATGTCCTTTGTTAAGGTTTTATATCTTTTGTTAGATTTATTCTGAAATGGCTTAGATATATTTTTGCTGTTGCAATACATCTTCAATAGAACTGCTTTGTCTAATTGATTGTTGGTGATGTTCAGTGATGAATTTGTGCATGGCTGAGTATGCCTGTACAATATTGACTAAAATAATATCCTTCTGGGTCCGTTAATGATTTTTCTTCTTTTTAGCAGTTAATGTTTTTCCATAAAGTTATTCATTTTGTTTAATTTTCAATGTTATTAGTATAAAGTCTTCACTTTAACATCTCTCTTTCTAAGAATGCTTTTTTTCCCCCCTCTCCAATCCTAATATCCCTTCCTTTGTCTGGATGACAAAACTACTTCTTTTGTAAGAACTCTGTCACTTGTATTGGCTTTTGGATAATCTGACCTCTTTCTTTCTTTCTTTCTTTCTTTCTTTCTTTCTTTCTTTCTTTCTTTCTTTCTTTCTTTCTCTCTCTCTCTCTCTCTCTCTCTCTCTCTCTCTCTCTCTCTCTCTCTCTCTACAGTTTTTCTGTGTAGCCTTGGCTGTCCTGGACTCACTTTGTAGAGCAGGCTGGCCTGGAACTCACAGAGATCCACCTGCCTCTGCCTCCCGAGTGCTGGGATTACAGGTGTATGCACCACCATGCCCACCCGGCTGACATTTGTTTCTTTGAGTTTCTGGGTTTCTTCATTTTCTGTCTCATTAACTTTAAACTTTTGTTGCTATCCTTATTCTTTTTATGTTTTGTATCTTTTTTCTTTGAAATTTTCCTCCTAACCCTCAGGTTAGTGATTTCTTTTTTTTTTTAGGCTCTCCATTTTATTCCCAACCAATTAGCTCACATGGAACAGATAATAACCAATCAGAACCCCAATTTAAACATGAGCAAGTCTCCATAGATTAAAAAAACAAAAACAAAAACAAAAACAAAAAAAAAAAACATGTCTCCATCTGGTGGCCTTAGAGGATCATCATTCAGCACAAAGTCTCAGTCACACCACTGAGTGACTCCTTACAGACTTTGGAGGTTTGGAATGGTCCCCATAGACTCATGTGTGTGAATGCTTGCCCCATGGGGAACGGCACTATTAGGAGGTGCGGCCTTGTTGGAGCAGGTGTGGTCTAGTTGGAAGATGTGTCATTGTGGGGGACTACTCTATGCCTATATCTATCTGTCTATCATCTATCTCTCTATCTGTCTGTGTGTCTGTCTATCTGCCTATCTGCGTATCTGCTCAAGCTCCACCCAATGAGGAAGATGTTGCCTTCAGATCAAGATGTAGAACTCTCGGCTACTCCAGCACCACATCAGCTGCATGCTGCCATGTTGATAATGCTGCCACGGTGATAATGGACTAAATCTCTGAAACTGTAAGGCAGCACCAATTAAATGTTTTCTTTATAAGAGTTGCCTTGGCCATGGTGTCTCTTCCCAACGATGGAACCCTGACTAAGACAGAGACCCAGCTTCTTCCTTCTCCAGTGTATTCTTGTGGAGTTGTGTCTGATTTTGTCATCAGTTTTCATCTGTAGCTGTTGTGAGTTAGGATGATTTTTGCTTTTGTTTCTCGGCCAGGGATTGCTTGATTCTGCAGGTCTTGAGAGAAGACGGATGAGGAGCCAAGTCAGGCCTGTGGTGCAAGACAGCTGAGGAAAGGAGCCCATCAGGAGCTGCAGCTGGGAAGCAGGCCTTAGCTGCTAAGTGACATTTAAAGAGTCATTTCTCCCGGAGTGTTTACTGAATGCTGCATTTCTGCGTAAGGACCACTTCAACACCATCTTGCAAATATTGGTACATTCATTTCAGTTTTAAGTTCTCGTTTTTATCAGAATGTTATCTTTAGCCCACGAAGTATTTAGAAATTTTAATTTTTTCTAAGTTTTAAAGGATTACATTTCATTATCCATATTTTTGGTTGTGTGTGTGTGTGTAAGAGAGCGGTGTGCAGATGTGTGGCGTATATGCGTGTTTTTGTGCAGTGAGTCAGGGAGCAGATGTGAGGTGTCCTCCTTACTGCTCTCTACTTAATTCTTTTGCATGTTTTTACTTGATGTGTATACGTGTCTGTGGGTGAGTGTCAGCTGCAGCATACGTGTGAAGGTCAGAGAACAACTT